GAGTAGGGGGGGGGGTCCCCGCCGCCCCCCGCCCGGCCCACGGCTGTGATTCAGAGTCAAATCCGAGCGTACCGGGGTTTCTGTGCTCGCGGTCACCGCAGGCAGCAGAGACCGAAGCTGGTGGGGACCGGGCTTTGCGCTTTCATAGGGTGCAACACGCAGGCTGCAGATCCTCGGCTTTAGCTAAGGACCGCACTCGGTCTGATCTTTTCCTTTCTCTTTCCCGCCCCACTGGTCCCGTGTGAGGAGAGACTGGAGTGGTCCGAGGGCGCGCCAGGCAGGTCCGCGGGATGACCCGGTGCGTGCGCGGTGGGGGATTGTGGGGATGGAAGGCTTTCCCACGGAGCGCGGAGCTGCCCGGGCTCCACGCGTGGGTCTCCGACTGGACCTCAGCCAGCCGGGCCCGCAGTTTCCGCTCCACTCGCGGTCTCGCTCGCCGCTGCTCTCTGCGAAGCCAAATCGGCGGCGCCTGCTGGAAATTCCCCAGGACTAGGACGGAAAAGGCAACTTAGAAACGCAGTCAGAGCGCCCCGGGAGTTTACACAACCCACGCAGTCCACGCCACTAAGGACTACTGGGCGCGAGCGGAGATTTAGGAAGCCTCCTCATGGTCCAAGCGGTCCAGTACCCTAATAACTGTGCCGCTGCTACTGCACACGGGGGGGGGGGTGTAGGGCTGGAGGAGAAGCTAAGGCACTCATTTGGACGAGGCCGGAGCAAAAAGCTGTAATTTAAAAACCTACGGACACTGCGTCCTGGGTCCTGCGCTCGCCTGCTCTACTCCTTCCCACCTCGGAGCCGACCTCAGCCCGCGGTCCGCGTGGGGCAACCCGGATCGCAGTCCAGTGCCCAAGGACCGAAGGGGACAGAGCTGCGGGTCCGCCAGCGCTCAGAACCAAGCTCCGAAGTTCCTGGCAGAACCAGAGGTGAGCCACCGAGGGCCGCGGCCGGGAATCCGGAGCCTGAGTTCAGCCCTTCACCCTCCGGCCCCGATCCCCAGCTGCAGCTGGAAGCGCGCGCTCCCGCTCGCTGCCGCCTAGCCCAGCCGGCGTTCTACTCTCTCATCCCAAGTGAG